TTTACCAGGCAAAATATAGACGCGTTGGGTAAGCGTATCCTCCAGAGACATTTGTTCGTGTGAGACTACCCAATTCCTGGAAAGGTGATAATGTGTTCGGACCGCCGGCCCGTGTGGAATCTGTGTGCACACCGGGAACTTACTAGTTGGCTGATGGGACAAAGATGAATGTAAGACAGCCGCATACAACGCTTTCCCAACGCGCTATTGAACAGACGAACACACCTACAACACAGGGTTCGGTACAAACTACTACAAACTTACGACGACCCGGTCAGATACGCCACCCTGTCTACCGATACACTTTAACGGATAATACCACATGACAATTCTTCGGGGTGCTGACACTAAATTAGATAGTTCGTGGACAAATAGTACCTATAGTTTTACAGAGAGGAGGACAATGTCGTGTACAAATACTTTGCCTTGTCTTTGCCCTCGATTCACTTATCCTACTCACTCTGCTATTTAGCACTCGTTGGCCTATCATGTGATCTTGCATTTGATTGGTTGCAATGCGGACGTCCATCGATTTAATTGTACAGCACGTGTGCGGACAGTTTCCTCCATACATACGTTCCGGTGCTAACCTGGTCTGCTGCTTTTTCGGTATACAACAGTATCACTGCTCTTTCCCTTGTAAACCTCATTTTTACTTTTCACAACCCGGATTTGCATTCATTTTGTGGCACAATCAAGCCACTAGTCTACAATTACACGATGGTCATCATTAATATTTAAACTTATATTTAATTATAGTTGGATTTTAATAATAAGGCAATCAATGAATTGGGAGGTGTAATAACTTCGTAACAATGTCTGTCAAGATTTTCATGCGAGTCTTGCACCTGATGTCGTTGAGCAAGCTTGTATATGTCCGGCTTCAGACTTGACAGCGAGTCATATTTCTCCTCTTGCTGTGAAGTCCTAACTGTTTCTAATTAAGTTAGAGAAACCACACTGCTGAATCCACCTTTAACCAATTGTGGGTGCGAAAAAGCAAGGAGATATAATGTAGCCATTTCCCACAGTCTGGGTTATCTCTTAGGGACATCAATCTTTATCCAAAAACCCATTTTATATTGTATGAACTTGGATCTAGCTAGTATTATTTTAAGGCTCTATGGGACTTTCCTGGAATTTGGCTCTACCATCACAGGGCTGTACATCAAATGGATCTAAAATACAAATTGGGCTTTCTGCGCCAAGCAGGTCATGAAGCCCGTCCTGCATTTCTTTTCGGAGTAGCTGCAAATGACGTACATAAACAGTCAAGTCTTAATCCTTCAGCTCCTCAGTGACAGTAGCGAGAATTGGGTACTGAAAATTCCCGAGGCCAACGTTTTGGCATATATTTCCGGCTTTTTGAGAAAAGCGACAGTGGCGTTTTTGTCTGAGATGAAATTACTCAACTTGCTTTGAAGATTTGTATTCAATAACCTGCGTTTTTCAAAAAGGTCATGCAGATAAAACACGTCTGGCTTAGCTGTTAACAGTTTTCTTGCAAAATGAGTTTCAGAAAGAAATGTCATGATGAGGTCCCAGATTCCGACAAAAAGGCGAAGACAGTTGCCCTTAGAGAACCATCTTGCCTCTGTATGCAACAGTAGAATCTGAAAATATTCATTTCCATTCTAATCAACTTGGTAATTTTATAAGATGCTGTAAGTATACTTGTCATTTTTTGCCCTGTCAGAAACTACTACCTTTACAGTTGATTGAATCACCGGGGATTCTAATCTTCAGCAATTAAAACTTCCCATTTAATAGAATAAATCAATGGATTCAGAGTAAGGAATTCTTTTCGGTAATTTTCATCAGACATACTTTGCTTTAGTGTGCCATCTCCAGTGACGGCGTGATTGATTGATTCGTTCCCATTGAAATGCAACATTCTGATCAATGCGCAGTCCTCTCCAGCACATTTAACACATAATAGTCATCATGTACAATTTGAGTGGGATGGCAATTACCGAAGATTATTCTTTACTCAGAATCTGCTTCCCTTGATTCATACTTTAAAATGTATTTTCGCAATATCCCGCAACATCCTAAACAAATTCACAAAGTTTTCGCTTTCATCCATATGAATATATTCTAAATGATTTTTCAGTTTACTTGGTTGCATTCTTTAGGTTGAAAGTGTTTTGGCAAATTAAACACAAAACCAGAGTTGGGTTTTGATGTGATGTGATAAATCCAAATGAAGGCATTCCACGGAGTACTTCCGACACATCTTTGCCGAGCAGCTAGTTTCTGCAACAAATCATTGCAAGTTGTTAATATTTAATACACACTTATATATGTACACTGCTTCTGTTTTGTTTTTCTTACACAGCTGTATATTTGGCAATTAATAGCACCATTCCACAAGGCGAATCACGCAGGTAGTACGCATGGTGGTGTTAAATTTATTCTTGCTTGACCGTGAGGCATTTGGTAAGCATACTCGCAATATCTGTTAGTGGCTGCCATGTTAAAATGTTTACGCGTAGAAACACTGTTGGAGGTCACCCAGAGGCGCTTTCTGAAGATAGCTTTGAAAATACCCTGGATAGCTAAAATAATAGAAGAAAACCTCTTGACAAAAGCCGATGAAGCAAAGGAATGGGACACAACAAATGGCCACTTTCACTGGACGCATATTCACTACAGGTAAGTTGGAACAAACAGTAACCTTGTGTAAAATGTAGGACGGAAGAGATAAACATGGGAGAAGATGTCGGATAGTCCAACAATTCGGCATGAGAGTCAACAACGAAGCGAATTGCTTACATCAGCTAATGCCAAACATGGCGCCCAATGTGTGCTGGCATGGCATTTGATTAGTATGTTAGAATAACTATCCTTTTGTACACATTATGTTAGATATTCTCACAAAGGAACCGGATGTTCTCATGTACGGTATAAGTTGACAAAACTACTCGCTAAGTTGAAATCTTCAGCTGTACTGAATGTTAGGAAGGCATTATAACTCCTCCTAGCTGCTTTGATTCATAGCCGGAACGAACAAACGTTCTCCAGTGATAGTACCCCACGCGCGCAGAGTAGCCACTCGCATTCGGAAGGTTGCAAGCTAACGTGACCTAGCCGCAGGACGTACACGCGAGCTGAGACTGGAGACGAAAAACGCGTAACCTAGCACTACTGCACTGAGATCCTAAGGAGAAAAAATGACTGGCACATGAGTTGTCACCCAGTGATAGTGTTCTTAGGAAAACTCAGCTAGTGTCAGTGTGGTTTTGTACGGTAACTGCTGCAGTGTTTTGACGAGAGTTGGAAAAGGTTCACTGCAACTTCCACAGTAGATGCATCAGGGTCACAGTGGATTGGCATCGAAGTCCTGTGGACGAATCGGCTGTTAGTTGTACATTCCATGTCGCCGTATGGTGACCGTATGTTTATATTGAGCCTGGAGAAATCTACGCAAGTGTGACGGAGGTATGCCAGCTCCACAAAAGCAAGTCTGCCAGGTATAGCTTTCACACCTTCGTAAACAGCCACTTGAGCGAACGTAATTCTTTTCGCTGACCGGCAGTAACCAGGAGAGATTATTGCGCGGAGCGGAAGTATCAGAAAACTTTTTTATACGAATGTTATTATTTATGTTAGCGCAACCCACTTTTCACAGCGTGTCCCACTATGGCTCCTCTTGGCCTCCCTATAAAATTTTCTCATTCCAGGGTCCTGCGAATTCTCAGTGGCATCCAGGAGAGCCATATGGCTCACCTTGGGAATGTCTGCTGAAGATAATGCGATCCAAACTTGTGCTGATTTTGGAATCGTTAGCTACACATCATTTAACGTACGAAGGGTGAATGTCACACCCTCCGTAGGGTGTATTTGCAAAGTGTATCAAACTGCTTGACTAGACAGACATAAAAAGCTATATGTATGCCTGATCATAAGGACTAGGTTAAGTCGACTGTGCTTTCGTATCAGAAATTTTGACTAATCAAAATTTTGTCAATCACAAACAGGTAAGTTACTTCAGTTTTATCAACCCGATCGGCTTTTTCCCGGAATAGTTACTTTCTACACGCTCTTGCAATATTATACTTCAGTAGTTGTTCCTATAGGGTGTGTTACCGTTATATACTCATCCTTTATAAGAGTATAGAGTTCTTTCTAAACTTGAAACTTAACAAGTGGAACGGACGTAGTTGCAATTAAGTCTAACATAGAAGATGGTGGGATTGCGTGTCCAATCTGACTACTTCGGTACCTGCGTACATTAAGTGGGATACAGCGAGCAATCTGTGGCGCATACTTAGGAACAGAGAATTCGTTAATTATTTTGTTCAGCCTATTCAGGGATTCTAAATCAGCTGTAAATCAGCTGCCAAAAATTACATGTTTATAGAAAACTCATGGGTATGACTAAACAACACCGCGGTTGCTACAGATCACACAAATAGTAGAGCTGCTAACCAGCGGGAAAATTCACATGGTTAATTGGCTAGGTGTTCCATCAAGCATTTCTTGTAGACAGCTGTATATGGTCTTCAGGACTAGTGGAATACCTCGAACAGTCAGATGGTAAGTCAGCCGCCTTAGAAAGGCCAAGAAAATAGCTTACAATTGATCAAGTATTCTGTGGAGCCTAGTAACCAACATACAGTCGGTAATTAGCTCTGGTCGTTCGTGGGTCATCATTGCTATAACATGGATAACCGCTGTTTACATGGCATTAGCATTACAACAATCCTGCACGGCAACATCGAAACTGGGAAACTACCACTATTCTAGCGTCCTGCTTCAGTAACGTGGCACGATGTATAAAAGTACAGTAAGCAGAATCCTTTTCCATATTGTTGTCACTGTACCTACGAAACAACACAGGGCGTCTGCTTCTGGAAGTCAAAACACTAAACACAGTTACAGTTCCCTTTAAAGGTTTCTACACGTTTTGACTTTATGCCTATGCTGGGAGTTAGATTTAAAACTTTAGACTATCAACCAGTTAGTAAATTCAGTTAAAGGAGCCAAGAAAGTCTCGGTTACCATGTTACAGAAACCGTACCGTGTCTGTGGGAAGCCAAGTGATCAGCGGCCAAACCATGATACTGCTGCCTGAAAAAGCCGTCTTTCAACGGATGCGACTCATACCGAGCATTAAGTGGACGATGGGTATGGGAACCATGCGATCCGTAGTAGGAATGATCGACGTCCGATCCGGCATGCGCCATGCCATACAGTTGGCTGTTAGGGGAATGTCCTGGAGATGCAACTTCATCGTGCGATTCGTACAAGTCTACAACGGGAAACAGGATTCAAAATACTTAGGAAAGATACCTGACAAACAAAGGCAAAAGACAAGCAATTCGCTCATTGTGCATAGTATTGATCGTTGTCCCATCCTAGGTTTTAACCCCTACCATGTAGTTACGTAGATGATGGATGGAATTTCTAGTTGGACAGTCAGTTTACTCTTACTATGTCGGTGAGGTACGCGTTGGGTCAACTGTGGAGAGCGAAATCAGAGCATTCGATCAGAGCGCAGTGCCGTTTACCTCATGTGCCGATCCACCTATGACAAAAGAGGCTAGCCAGCTTCTAAATTAAAGGTTATGGAAATCGATCATTTAGCTAACGGTCATATTCCCAACGACGGCAACCGATAGCATGTATAAGTAGAAAGCTGCTAATCCCACGGGCACCATAACAGTAATTACGAAGCCCGCAATGTACGCGCATTTTACATGAAGCAAACTCGATTGCTGACTAGGCGTTGAATTTAACTTATGGTAATTTTATGGAAGACTCGAATCCCTTGTTACTGCTGCGTTCATTGAACTACGTCGCATGTGTCATGTTCTGGTACACATGTTATTAAGTCCACTGCGGTGCGTCGATAAAGGCAGCTACAAGTTTTCCACATGCCAATAATGAGAACGTGGAATTGAAACCATGCCAACTCAGTGCAAGTAATAATTTCCAAATGTGGAACCGCTTTAGCAGTTATGCTTCCCAAAATGTCTGTTCGAATATCTTTAGAAAACATTCCGCGTTCCTTCATGAAACTCATTATTGGCCGGTCCACCAATCTGATCTATGAAGAACGATGCCACCACCTTAAACTGGCCGCAATAGGGCTACGCCGATTGTGAAATAACTTAGATATTTTACTACAGTATGCATTGTCATATGTACACGACCGGAATAGATCTTACCTTGCAAAATCCCGCAACATATCCCACAATAAATAGGGGCTACTCACTACCCATAAAAAGGGGAAATTAAAGATCCGCTCCAGCTCCTTTCTGGTAAGGTATACTCACATATGGAACAAGCTACCATTGAAAGTACGGGCAAATGAGAACCTAACTAAATTTAAAACGAACTTGAGAAACTTTCTTAGCATGCAGAACATAATGACAACATTCGTTCTTCAGGTGTCTACAGACATGCTCATTTCAGCAGCTCCAGGCAATATATGACCTATAATGCGGGCTCACCACACTCCAGTATACCCTAAATTTATGCTCAAATATGCCACGCTTAAAGTCCCACTTGCAGGTACAGAAACAAAAAAGTGTAGCTCTTGCTTTGTCTCTCTTTCGTCTATTTTAAATATCCTACTGGGTTATTGTGTCCGGATAATTCACATCACCTAGTGTGTTTTGAAAGGAGAAGCCGACCCATTAATAACTCAACCTGTTATTCTAAACTTCTGCAATATTTTAACACACCCAATCATAAGGAATCCCACAATGTAACGAGATATGCTATTTGTTTACGTATTTCCTTGACATTTCTACCCCCTAAGTTAACTATTTCGTCCTATTCGCATGTTATTCTGTTGTTCCCGAATGGGCTAATCTCCTGAGGTGATGGTTTGACGCTTCGAAGAAACCAATATACCCTCGCCAAAAGCCTCAATGGTGAGTATAAATGTGTGAAGAAATTAAAAAACTGTCTAATCTGAACTGCTGAACTGACACTTAATGGCATACGACGCCAACCGGTGATACCGGTCATCATGAATGCAAAAATACTATGAGTGACGAAAGGGCTGACTGGCATGAGTAACTAGCTCACCAAAAGAAAAGTACTTAAATGGTGAATAAAATCGGTAGTGGCCAGCGTGCTTTTAAACCACACCGACACATAACCAGAAGCGACATGGAGGTGCGCATGAAAACTCTCGAGGGACTACCCCGCATGGAATCAAGTCCCCGGGAGACGGTTCCACGGTTCCACGGTTCCACTTCACTTGTTTTTCTTACCTTACTTCATTCTGCATTGAATCTGTTGTGCTCGTGGTTCCTGGTTACTTCATCTCTACCTTCCTACTGTCTTACTGATATTTCCCATTAAGTTATTCCTTAGACCATATACTCGATCTTAGTTACGGTGTCTTTCCTCTCTACCTCTAAGCCAAAAATCGATTAACAACAGCACACTTTCCTAATCACCCTGTCTTTGACATCTACAAGACTACGATGCATTTAATAAGTCCTCACTGCAGTGAATAGTCGTTTAGTTCTTTGTCTACTTATCTGTTTAATTCTCCTCTTTCAACATTACATTTCCCATTCATAATCACGCACACCCTAAATATCTACCTACATGGGAAGGCTGAAGGGAATGTACCTGAGCTCAACCAACATCTCAACCATCTGGAAGCCCAAAACACAAGTTGATTTGTTCAATTACATGATTAGAACTAGGAATGCCTGGATACCAGTCGATGCCTTAACTCCGTATGATATGAAAACTGTCTAAATTATTCTGTTAAAGCAACTTGATGTTGATGATCCAGTGAAGTTACCTTTCTATAGTATTTTTCTTATTTTTGCAGCTCGCTAACTTGCTACCCAGAAATAGCTCCAACTCTATTACTCCAGTCTATTATGTAAGACTGTATATTATTCAGCTGATGTTGATTGGTGACTCTAACTACTTCCTCCGTTTCATAGTCCTTCCCCCCATTAAACTGCGGCCATCATGGCATCACTAAGCTGCACCAAAAACAACCAAATGAAAATGCTCGCGAACTGCTGACATACAGCGATAAAAGTCCCAAATGAAAATATTCGCAAAAGCATCCCTATTAGGGGATTGATGTGTTCCCCGAGTTGAGTAATTTTGTTGCAGACGTTTCATTGCCAAGCTAGACAACATCCTGAGTGCGGTGATTAGGGTCTGATTCGCAGAGCCTCGTAAGCCACTGCCAGATCCTGCTTTAAATGTCCGTCTTCAATTCCCTCACCTGGGTCGATCAGGTGGTCGCGCCTTCGCCCTGTCGATCTGGTATTTATTGTTGTCATCACATGCAGAGCTTCGTAGACACCCTCTACTTCCAGGTGCTTGTTGATTGAGTTCCGGCCCGAACGCCTAGCTTCGATGAACTCACACGCTCTACGATTCTTCGCTGTTCCAAGTATCTTGGCGTTTCCCAGATCGAACGGATGGCTTTCGGCATCCATATGTACTGCTATTAGTGACATTTCATCATGGCGGTGGATGGCCAGACTGTGTTTATGCAGTCTTGTACCAAGTTTCCCCGCAGTATGGCCAACGTAGTAGTTGTCGCAATTATTGCAGCAAATTTTGTAAATCACACCTGATGTTTCTTCTTTACTCAGTTGGTCTTTTACCCTAAAAGTTTACTCCGAACGTTTTCCGTTGCGTCATGTGCAACGTTGCTACCGTGAGGCAGTAAAAGCCTCGCTGCCATTTCAGATGTCCCATGGATCTAAGGTAGAATGATGGTTTTCCGTTCCCTTGCGCTGGTGGAAGAGTGTTGTGGTTGATTCTTCTACACCAGGCAGCGTAGAATACAACTTTTAGGGTGCGAATGCCGCTGAAACATGTTAAATAGGTGGTCTTCCTCATCTTTACTCAGTTGCAGCGTGCTACAGTGTGTTTGGATCCGTTTGAAAAGTGTCCACACGCAACTGCATTTGTAAATGGCCAGGTGGTTACTGCAATAGTTTAAGATCTGATCAGTGTGAGTCGCTTTTCGATGGACTGTTGTATCCAGGGGCCCGGAAGCATGTCTTTTGACGAGCACGTCTAGGAATGGCAACTGGTCATTGTTCTCCTCCTCTTTGCTGAAATGGGTGCAGGGGAAAATATTATTGATAAGGTGATGTGTTTCTTGTAGTTTGGAGCGCTTGGTGATAACAGAGGTATCGTCCACGTAAGGTACCCTAAGTTTGGCTCCACCATCGACGGTGCCTATTTTGCCAGTGCTTGCCTCACTGCCTCGGCTACCAGTCCAGAGATTGGTGAACCCATTGGCGAGCCCATTATCTGTTTGTACGTTTGCCCATTGAAAGTGAAGTGTGTGGTCAGACAGAAATCAAACAACTGCATCATTTGTGAGACTCCAATTCTGTTGTTCGTAGTTGCCGCCCCGTATTGTTCAAGTAGAGTCATTATTGGTTGCATTGCCAATTTCGTGTCAACTGATGTGAATAAAGCTGTGACATCAAAGCATACCATCAGCTCCTCAATTTCTATTCTTATTTCTTTGAGTATTCTAAGGAATTGTTTTGCCGATTTCATTGAATGTTCTGAGTCTGCGGTTAGATGTTTCAGTCGTTTCCAATGTTCTTTAGACAGCTTGTAATTCAGTGCCCCGGGTAATGACACGATAGGGCGAAGGGTACCCCGTTTTGTGTCCATTGCGCAGACCGTAAAACCGTGGTATCACTGAATCCTCTGTGTTCTAACTATGTTCTAACTTCGTGATCTGTCTCATTTGTTCCAGTCTTTGAAGTGCTCGTTTGATCTGGCTTTCCAGACATTTTGTAGGGTCTTCACTTATCAGCTGGTAGGTCTTCAGATCTCCCAGTACTTCTTGTGCCATCTTCATGTAGTCAGTTTTGTCCATTATTACCGTGAGTCCTCCCTTGTCTGCCGGTAAGATATCATTAGTTTTGTCTCGTCTGACGCTTGTCTGTGCTTATTTTTCTCTTACGTTGAATATGTGCTTTTCCACTTTGTGACTCGGAACGGCGATGATGCTATGTCGAATGACATGTTGGGCTTCATCTGCGGTGTTGCATGTGGCCAGCGAGTTTACTCTCTGATTGAAACTACTGATGTCAAATGATGAAACTGGCATATCGAATCACCGTCTTTGAAAAGTAAGTATGTAGCAGCATGGCACAGCGTCCCATGTCCGGAACATTCCTGTTGTAACCCTGTAAAAACCCAAATCATTGACAGCCTCGCACGCCTGAGCATGTTGCAATGTAAATATGATCCGATCCTTTGTGGGCTCGGTTTCGCGGTAGCAATACATTACTAGACTAATTCTATTCCGCCACACACTAAGTTTCCATGTGGTAAAACTTCTTATATGAATTAGAGAAAACACAGAGTGTACGGGAGCTACAACTCACAGTGAAGAACCGATCTCTTAGTGATTGACAGCAACGTCTCTCAGAGTTATTGTTTCAAGAATGCCGTCAATCTCCAGGAAGTTTGCTAGACCTGAACTATCACCTGCCCTATTTACACTCAGCATTCTTGGTGAAAAATAGGATAAATAAGATCCCAGACGTTTCTGAACGACATCAACTGTTTTCAGTAATCCAGCTCTGTGAAAGAATAAATCGGTACAAAGTTATCCAGGAGTCCTAACAGCGCCCAGGAAAATAAGTGCGCCCTGATCGGATACGCGTAGTTCGGGCAAAGTTGTTCTTGTTGTTCGGTTAAGGTCAGTTCACTCGAAGCTACTCATTACCCAACCTACGTCTGCCAGATATAAGAGGTAACAGCGAGTGGGACACCGCGTCTTCCTATGGCGAACAATGCCTTTAACTGTTTAGCCCGGGGAACACAATTAGCCTTAGTCTCTTTAGCACTCAGTCGCTAATTGGTGTTAGTGTTTCGGCAGAGGAATCCGAGAGGAGGATGCAATATAGATTTTGTACTAGACTCATCAACTGAGCATATCATACGTGAAAATGCGAAGCGGGTGACCGTCCGAATCATTTAGGAAGCGAAGGCAATTTGCATACCATTAAACTTACATGTGCATTTAAAAATGACATCTGAACCCTAATCCAATGTTAAACGTTTCTCATTTCATGGAAGTATAAGTGTTGGGATCTCGCAGCCCCGAAATTGTACATTTAGGATGATATACCAAAGCTCGGAAAGATTAGTACTCAAAGTAAAACACGGTATAAACATACAGCATAAACTCCAATTCCCAATAAACCTATTCGTCTTACCTGTGTCGTACTCTCCAGAATGTGCGCGTCCAACATCTGCCGTGTAGTTAACCAAATGTGTTGACGTTCGTTCATACGCTTCCTCACAGGGATCCGTTTCCGACCCGTCACTGCGATCCTGTGACATTAACGTTCCACCTTCATAAACGCCGTTATCTCGTGGTCTCATATTCCCGACCGAAGGGGAGTCAGCGTAGTCCGATAGCAATGATTCGGTGCCCAAATCCTGTTCATATGGTTCTGGGTACGGAAAATGTGCACCGGAGTAATACTGACGCATCGCTGCTTCTCGCGCATAGTGTTCTGACCTTTGTGGCCTACTGGAACCTTGGCGGTAAACTGACTGCGGAGATGGATCGAATTTCTGCCAGTACTGATGCTGCTGTCTCGGATCGCTTGTGGGTTGCCTGAACACAAATATATGGTTAGTAATTGAGTGGCGGAAAACACAACAACTAGTTAGAGGACAGTCCAACAAATTCACTTTGGTAAAGCAGCAAACTTAGTACCATTCTATCTTCATCTCTATTCACTCAGATTTGCTGCCAGGTTAAAGGAACGAGAATAACATAATGCTCTACAAACAGATGGTGACCAGTTTCCGGGGAATAATGCAACATCATGTCACACTGGGTCGAAATGACTAACTGATGCACTCCGGAGTCAAAAACGGGTACTTATTTTTCGGTCGTAAAGCGCCGGAGGAGAAATGAGTTACATCCCATTCCGACAACAGCGAATATAGAACGATGATTTATAACAGATAAAACAGTGAGTGCTTAATGAGTCCAGTAGGATGACTGGGGGAAAGAAGTACAAAAGTAGAAAGAAAGCAAGACAAGAAATAAGTTGTTTTAGCCGACTCAACTGGGGATTCACAACAGTACAGCTGTAGGTGTTCCTATCGTTACATTACGGCGAGATCTGATGGGAGAATAGTTTTGTTTAAGTTATTTTACTCTGGTTGAAATTACCGATGTCACGTGATGAAACTGGCATATGGAATCACCGTCTTTTGAAATGCAAGTATGTAGCAGCATGGGACGGCGTCCCATGTCCGGGACATTCTAAGGCGGAAAATATTCCGTCGACATGTAAGGCATGCTTAATTTGAACCGGTGGCCTATCAAATTAATTCTATGGTTGTTACAAGAAATCGTGCCATACATGTTTGTGGTCCTTCCGTGTTGGATACGCTATGATGTGCTCATGTCGAAAACCCCGACATTTACGGAGGCGCAATCAATGGGCTTTAATTCAAAGTTGTTGGGACAGGTGAAACAGACCAAATCAATTTTGGTCGCCGTACGTTGTGAATCATCAAATGTATTAACACCGTGTTTCCGCTATTGACGCCAGGTTTAAATCGCATGATCTATATAGGTTCTAACGTACACGCACTGTATTTGCTGTTAGCTACAAAACTCTAATTTTTTGAAAGCTCTATGCAAAAGACCGAAGTGGTAAATGTCACTTTTCCATGATTTAGCAATGTGTTTCGTGCAACCTAGGTGATCCTGCATAGTTATTCCAATATCGCTTTCTTGGGATACACGCTGCAATGGCTGTTCATCAGGACGCTCCCCGTGAGTACGTTGATGGCGTATGCTCAAAATTAGGAGCTTCGCCACGTTAACATGGAGCAGGTTGTGTGAAAACTAGTTATGAGCTCTGTCGAAGTCACTCTGCAATTCATTGAGCTCTTTCACTGACTTGATAGTGCCAAATCATTACACCATCTGATAAAACAAAGGAAAATGTGTCGGGAATACACTTGCAAGATCAATAATGAAAAATAACCATAGACGTGAACCCAGTACCAAAGGGGTGCATGTCACTGGACTTCATTTGGTCCAAAAAGCGACACAAACTCCCATATTTACCTGGTGTAGAAGGGGGAATTCGCTTCCATGACCCAAGACAAGATTGTCGATTTCCAAGCTCAGAACTATGTGAGGGAGAATGCGGTGATCCAAGAGGACATGCGCCTTTATACCGTACGCTTGATAAGAGTCTTTCGATTTTGCTCAGTATCCGTAGGTCAGCAGCGGAGGTGAGGGTGAGATTGGAGCGCACTAATTTGCCGACCCACCAATGGCCTGTAAGTCTAGTGTATTTACTCACCCACGCATGTCTGGGGGTGTGAATACGACATGAGGACGGATTGCGGTGCATGTGTCCTTGAAATATGTTAATTACCCTCGGCGAGTTGGACACCGGTCAGTTCAGATTGGGTCGATGCCGACGTTTTTTGGCTGGTGGTTTGCAACATCTCGACAGTAGTGCATAATGCACTGGCTACCGTGTTCAAATGTTGGTGGCGCATCTACCGTTGCTTAATGTTATCCCAGCAAATGATAAATGGGTTAGTGACGACGCTGTTGTAGACTGAATGTTACCTTCACATAAACCACCTTAGAAAGTAAGAATTCGTAACAATTAGGCGGTGAAAATATGAGATGCTACTTCTGCATAAATGCGTCCGGAAAAGCTGTCGTTGACAGACTACTGCCGTCACTGTCTTGATAGCAATTGCAGGAACCAAGTGGGGTGCACGCTGTCTAATTTGTTTAACAGTGACCGTGACGGTGTAACATGAAAGGCTGACAGTGTCGCTCAGTCTCTCAGAAAAACGTAGGTGTATATCAAACGAAATGATCGTTACATGCTGCCGTGTATGCCAATTAAGAGACTACTCGCTGCACGTGTTTGTGGAGAAGGACTGCCGATGAAATCCACTCGGTAGTACACCGTGGTTGAGGATTTAAAATCCGCTGCAATGGGTATCCGCTTGTACTTAAATTAGTCGCTTAGTGTTCAGTTTGTCTTCGCGGAGCAATTTGATGCATTGATTTCGCTGACTTATGTAGCATCCAAACGTACATTATCAACCCGCCAGGCAGAATCCATCTTGATCATGCACATTCGTGTCCGGCCCCACAGAAACCACCACACTTGCTCCGAAAGAAGTAATTTGGATTCAGACGCCATTGAAATTAGCCAAGTGAACAGAATGCCAAATTTCTTCCAGGAGATTTCAGAGGCTGGGCAGATAGAAAAGACCCGTTATTTTGATGAACGACGTCAAAGCGTATAGCGTAATGGGTGATAACTGGAACTTCCTGGTTGCTTTCACAGACGTATTTCGCGTTGCAAGTGAAGCGGAAGCGAAGCATCGCGTGATCGCTACGGCCAAAAGGTACACTTAAGTTTACTGCATTAATTATTATTTTCTCGTTGGTGAACACAATGTCTAAAATTTATGCTTCGTCGCCAGTAGTGTATCTCGAGGGAGCGGTAACATGTTTGCACAACAGTATATCAACAAGTACATCTTGCAAGTACGCTTTAAACTGTTCGCAGAGCAAAGCTGAGATTTCGTTGCATGAAGGCTGAAGTCCCCCAATCAAAGGACGTAATTGTATGACCAGACGCAACCAATTTTTTAGACGCAATTGGTATCCAATCTGCAAGAAGTGGGTCTTTCAAGCGCACTAATGTAGAGCGGAGCGTTTGGCCTTTCTGGAAAATTAAGCTTATGCTTTCTTTATTTAAGACCCTCTGGATGGCCTCTGTAGTTCCATCTTTATAAGGAATATCTATCGTCCCAATCCACTCGGTAGTACACCGTGGTTGAGGATTTAAATTCCGCTGCAACGGGTATCCGCCTCGGGTATCCACTACCAAGCAATTAGTTCATTGCTTCTTTCCGCGCTGCCTTCCTATCTTCTTCCTCTGTGCACAGAGTCTGGACTCTGTGTAACAGTGATGAGACGATTCCAGAATACACATGCTTTGGGCGACCTGAACTATAGTAGAATACACCATCTGTCGCTGTCGGCTTACGATATATCTTTGTTTTTGGACTACTCCCATTCCTATGAACTAAGCAGTCAAGGAATGACAATGTTCCACTGCCAGATTCCAATTCCATAGTGAAATGTCTGGTCTCCGCTTTCCAAAGGTTAAACAGCTGATCACAAGCGTCCCCATCCTAGCGTACCATGATCCATTACTTTCCTTGATATCCAGTGTGACAGTAGCCGGTTCGGCATCGGTGCTGCGCCAAAGCAAAACGGAAAGTCCATTGATTTCCGCAGCCGAACGCTAACGGAGTCCGAACGTCGTTATAGTCAAATCGAAAAGGAAAGTATCGCGCTGATGTATGCGGTGAAGCGTGTTACTGAATAGACATTCGGCCGCCGAACTGTCTACTTGCTTTCGGTATTTATTTATTACCTCGAATTGGCAATCACTTAAACCGTCCTAATGTTTGCCGACGCCATCAAGCGTTGGCGTAATGTTTAGGTAAATACCGACCAGCAACTGCTTCAGATTGATCTGGACACGGTACATCGCTAGCCATTTACAATTTACTACATTTCAAAGTGATTAAAGGCAAAATCATCTCCATAAGGCACAACACCAGTTACTCACACAGCCTCAGAACTAGGTACTGCAGTAATCTTCCATCAAACTTGATCCTTGTGTGTTGGTTCAAGATGAATCGGGTTGCTCCAGAAAGTCCGAAAAGGCCACGTAATCTGATAATTTCCATCTGGGTCTGTTGTTGAACAAAGGGACATTTCTATTTTTGACAGACGATTAGTGCACATGGTCACCTTCATATCGAATACGCCATTTAAGCCCGGCATCCATGGCTGAATAACGCCTTAATGTACTGTGGCATATTCAAGGTCGGAATTCCTAGCCCCTGGCGATATCGCTGAATAAAAGGCAATCATAAAATGACCATGATTCTGCAAGGCCCACATCATGGCTGCCACTGCGGACTGCGAATCTATAATAATGCAAAATGAGGAAGTCACTCATTGTAACTAGCAGAAAGGTATGACCATATGTAGTGTCGCAGGAATTCATTACAATTCACGTAATTCACTCGTAGAGTGCTCTTTCTGAATCGGTCGTTTCTGCAGCGACTCAAGTAATGTTTTTAAAAATCGCTGGATGACGCAATCATCCAATTACGCGATTTACATAGCACAGTATATCCATTCTGTTTTTGGAATATACCTCGGAAATATTAGTCCTTACCTGCGGGTGCTGTGACACTACGCGGATTGCAGGACTAGAGCATAACAAAGGATAATTCCTATATTTTACTTAAAGTAACAGCTGTTTTTTCGATAACCACACCAAATCACCCAACGGGAATCTTAAAGCACGACTCCTTAACCTGTGCAAATTCATGCTTCAATGTGCATACATCCTACTCCAAACTTAGAGTTCTTAGGATACCGTCATGATAATTGAAACGTGGCTGACTTCTGACTACGCTTATGCCGAGATAGCACCGCCCGGCTTTACTCCCCTACAAAGCGAATAACCTAGAAAAGGAGGCAAAGTGCCCTTGCATTACCGACTTGATCTGTATAGCTATATCATC